TGAAACATTTACTAAACTATTCAAAAAATAACTTGATTGAATCCAAACCAATCGGGGTTAACGATGATTTAGAGTTCCTTATAGGTACAATACTGCTCCAGCAGTGCTCCATCCTATATGTTTCTACTTATTTCCTGGGATGTTTCTCTTCAGAGAAGGAAATCCATCTTAAATTATACTACACAAGAAATAATTCATATAAACTATGGAAAAATGTAGATACCTTGATAACAGTCATGACTTATCAGTGTTTCCCAGGTGGAAAAAGCACAGTGGAGTCTAGTGGCTTTTAGATCTGCAATGGCATTGTGTCTACCTGCCATAGGTAGCTAAGTAAATGCTTTATTGCAAACCTGGCTTACTTAGATGCATAAGCATGTTCTACTGGCTGTTCGATTTGCCAAATTCGTGAAGGCTGATCAACTCATAATGATTCCACATGATATAGAAAGATTTTCAATAGCATCATTTCCCCCACTGAATTTCTTAACCATGGGGAATCAATTTATTTGAAAAGTCAGTTTTGAAAATAATTTACACCCAAACATGTGGAAATTGTGACTGCAATGCTGGAGTTATAAGCACTTATAAAATAACAGCTTTCTACTATTGAAACTTGGAGGCATTTTAGTTCAGGAATTGCTAAAAGTCATGTGGAAAGCAATGAAGTTAAATGTACAATCTGACTGCATTGTGCAAAAGATTAAGTAGTTAATGTGCCAATTTTTTGTGTAAAATGTTGCGCACAATCTTTCATGTATTACCGTATTTATCGGCGTATAACACGCACTTTTTTCCCCCTGAAAATAGGGGGCAAATGATGTATGCGTGTTATACGCCGATATAATGTTAAGAAGCCTTTGGTGAATGCTGCTGGGATCGGGGATCAAGGACACAAATGAAAGAAGGGGAGGGAGGAAGCAACCGAAGCCTGTCCTTCTCTCTGGGTCAGCTCTCTCAGTCGCTCTCTCGCTCCTCCACCAGCACAGGAAGAAACTGCTTCAAAGAAGCGGGGGGGGGGGCTTTTCCTGTCGCCGCAGCTTCCCTGAAGCGCCCGTTTCTCCCCCACCCCCACCCCGTCCGCCCGCCCGCCCGCCCGCAGTGCTCCGTTCTGCCTGCCTGCCTGCCTTCGTTAATGGTTGAATCGGAACAGCTTCGGCTGAGTAAAAGAGGCGAATAGTTATTATTCTCAGCCGAAGCTGCTCCCAAACAACCAGAAACTAAGGCAGGCAGGCAGGCAGGCAGAATGGGACACTGTGGATTGAAGCGCGTGCGCGGGGTGGGAGTGGGGGTGAAACGGGCGCTTCGGAATAGCTGCGGCGACAGGAAAAGCCCCCCCCCGCTTCTTTGAAGCAGTTTCTTCCTTGGATGGTGGAGCAGCGAGAGAGCGAAGCCTCCTTCTCTTCTCTCCCCCCCCCCCCGGTCCTTGCAAAAATTTTCTGCTTGAAACCGGTCCCTGGTACAAAAAAGGTTGGGGACCACTGATTTACCTTATAAGTGGTAATAATATTAATAAAAAAAAAGTTCTGAGCTACCCTTATTTTGCTTCAAAGTTTTTATTTAGAAATTTAATTTTTTTTCCTGAAATTTCCCTCTTAAAATGAAGATGCGTGTTATACGCCTGTGCGTGTTATACGCCGATAAATACGGTATATCTCAGTAAGGTTACACTTTGGTTTTCCAAAATGTTTGAAACAATAATAAGTACCTTTACATACACACATTCACATATACATACACACATTTGGAGTTAGACTATAAAAGAAAGCGTTATTTTATCTGACCTTTGATAATTTCTATGTGATAAACAGGAGAGAAAGAATCCTTCTTTAGTCTATTCCAGCACAGACTTCATAGTGCAGAGCCAGTTGATACATAAATAAGAAGTGACAGTGTGTCCAAATTACAAAGAAACCATCAACCATTATCTTGCTATTGTTTCTTCTATACTGCTCTTTTCTCCTTCCTGCTTCTCCCTTTTATTTCATAATCCCTGGAGACCTGATCCATAAAACCAAATCAGAAATACAGGATTTTAGTGTTGCTCTACCAAGAGATTCTCAGCTTTTGTGGAATTAGCTGGAATTATATTGAAATTATAGTTTATGCTTCTTACTCTGTTTCTTCTTGCTTTAAAGGGGGAAATGAGCTAGAATTCCACTGTATACTTAAAAAGAGACAAAGTGTATTTAATTTTCTTACCTTTGTTTGTCATATTCCAAATAAAAATAGCTGTCAGGAACTTTCTAATTGCTATCAGATGAGCAGCTACTATTGCTGCTTAATTTCCATGATGAGAGTAACAAGAATTAGTGCTGTCTGGCACTGCCTGAAACTCTTTGAAATCTTGGATATGCCACCTATAACTGAACAGACAGATAGATTGCAGTAAGTAGATCAGGATATTTCTTTTGCTCTACTAATCTGATTTTAGGTTTTTGAATTCATATTAAAATCTCAGAGGAGTTTAAACAGTGTCTGTCCTCACAATAATAATCCTGTGAGAGAGTTTTGGCATAGATAAAATGATTAATCCAAAATTAGACAGTTCCAGGTCAAGTGGGGAACTGAATCATGATCTTCCAGGCGCAGTCCAGAACTGAAAATACTATATTATATTTTGCATGAAACATGTAACAACATTTTTCATAATGTCCCACCTCCATAAAGTTTAGCCTACACACATACACATACACACTCTTAATAGCTGTTTGAAAGAGGTTGGCTTATTATTATTGTAGAAAAAATGTAAAATCACAGCTGTCAGTTCCTTAATGGGTCTTCATATATAGTACACCAATTTCTTCCTAAGATCCTAGGATGTTGTAATGTATCAATGTGGTTTAAGTATGGATCCAAGCAGTTTGGCCTTTTGCAATTGATAGATGGAAATTTTGTCAATATGCACCCAATTTGCCCATAATCCCTGGGATCACTACTGCTGGTTTATGCCATAATGATTCATTTTTTAGTTTTTCAGATCTTCATACTTTGTGACTCCCCACCCCGCCCCAATTTCTTGTATTATATATTTTCTCCTAGAATTATCACATCAATTATCCAGTTAAATATGGTCTGTTATGAGCCAAGACTTTTATCAATTTGTATTTGAAAAATGCACAATATTTTAACTTGCTTTTTCAATTCTCTGTTCTCATCAATTTTTCATTACTGGCACATGATAATTTTTACAAACGTTCCATAATAACAAAACCTAACAGATAATGAAACATCCTACAAAAGAGGCAGTACCAGATAACTAAAGGCCAATTACCTGCCCACTAATAACTTTCAAATTTGTAATTGATATGGTAGCTAATGCAGTCCTACATCATTTAGTTGAAAACAAGGTCTTTTCACCTAGCAAAAAGGAAACTGCTCAAACAGCAGAGAAGACTCACTACTACAGTTTCTCATTGCACTGATACCTCTGTCAACAATACTGAACAAGTCTGGACATAGCTCTCAAACATCAAAAACATCTGTCAATTGTGGTATCCCATCTCCTTTGTATGGATGATCTGAAGTTGTATGGAAAATATCATCTGAAATAGAATCACTACTCAACACTGTCCGTATAGTCAAAATATTGCAATGGAGTTTGGACTCGACAAATGTGCCATCCTCACCTCTAATATGGGAAAAATAGTGAAAATTGAAGGAATTAAGATGCCCTATGGAAATTACATCAAGGGTTGGATGAAGAAAATAACTACAAATTCCTGGGCATTCATAAGCTGACATATCAAGCATACTAAAATTAAGAAGGTTAGAAGTGAGTATGTTTCAGAGTGAAGATCTTAAAATGCTAACTCAGTGAATGAAATACCATCAAGATAATGAACACCTGGGCAGTTCCAGTCATTAGATACACAACTAGAATACTGAACTTGACCCAAAGAGAATGAAAAGCTCAGGATATAAAAACCAAAAAAAATAATGACATTGAAGCAGGATCTTCATCAGCACAGCAATGTTGGTTGACACAAGGAAAATACCGTGTTTCTCATATAATAAGGCTGGGTCTTATTTTTTTTTTTGAGCCCCGAAAAAATGGCTAGGCCGTCTTTTTTGGGGTGACTTAATTCCCCCCCTTTGCATCTTCGGGCAGGCGAGCGGCGATGGCTTGGATGTTGACCTCGGCGTTGGTGGGGCACTTTGTATCAGGGTCAATGCAGGCAGCACCATATCCGAGTGTGCAACAAAAGCACTTCCTAACAGCAAGCCCACCCGCCATTTCCCCCCCATTTCGCATGTTTTAATATAGGCCTTAATTTGGGGGGAGGGGCTTAATTTCATTTCATGCCTATAAAACATGCTGGGACTTCCTATTGGGGAAGGCCATATTGTTGGAGAAACAGGGTAGGTGGGTGTGGAATGTTGCAAGCACACTGGACAGTTGAAGAAGAAAGGGCATTGAAAGAATATCTGAAGGTCAGTGAAGAAGTTGCACTGAAGTTAGTACATCATAAATGCTTACTGAGTACTGGAAAGACCAAACTGCTCTACAAGAACAACCGAATGAACAGAAAAGAGAAATGATAAGACAAAGTATGAATTGGCGAGTATCTTAAAAACAGCACGCTAAGCAAATAGCAAGAAGACGTGGCAATGTCTCAGAGCAGGAAAATGAAGATAGAGACAGAGAGCTAAACAAAACCAAGCCTAAAAAAAAATACATACCAAGTCAGAATTGAGAAGCTAGAAGAGACAGAAAATACAAAGATAGAAGAGACTGCCTAGTTAGCTGCTCAAGATGTTCACACAGACACCTTCACTACAAAAAACATGACAAAGTAGTAACAACAGTGCATTTAAAAATCTTTTAGAGAGAAGTTCCCCGAAGATGGGCTCTAGCACGAGTCTGAAAGTTCAGCAAAAGCCTCTGGTTCCAGTGGCTGCCCCAGATTGGATCCTGCAACATTACATATATTTGTTTTCATGTGTGATTTAATAATTTGCAAACAATACCACTTACTTGCAACCAAGAACTGGTGGGACCACAACACATAGACAACTTAATAGAAAACGAAGAAGCTAAAGTGCTCTGGGTTTTAGGATTCAAATGGACAAACAACTGCCACAGAAACACTTCAGACTTTGCAAACGCTGATAAGCAAAATCAGAAATGTGGATAGGGGAGATGGTAGTACCTGAAGAAAACAGAAGAGAAGGAATTGGAGAAAATCACAAAATGCAAACGTCTGCAAATAGAAGTAGAGCAATTGTGGCAAAAGAAAGCAAAAATACCACTTGAACACTATTGGCATTGACAAAATCACCATCAGTCAGCTGCAAAATGCAGCTTTACTTGGAACAGTTTATATACTGCAATGATGCTTTTAACACCATCAAATAATATCTGCCTGTTCCTTGTGAAGGGTTCAATTAGTGGATAAAATCCAGTCTAAACATCTGGCTGACTGCAGCAAACCATAATAATAATTACAATATTTAAAAGGGGAGTGGGTAACTTAAGCCTTGCAAACAGGCTTGCCCCCTTTAGGAAAGAATTTCTTGCCGTGACATCAGGTATAGTTTAGCATATAAGCTGAAAAAATTTGTAGAATCTCTGGGCTACACATGCCTCCTGAAGAATTCTTACATATCATAGAATGTGTTTGGAAATTGTAGTGTACTTCAGACTTATAACATTTTTCCTGCCAGTATTACGTACTGTGCTTTTTTGGAGATGAATTCATTGGGTGTGGTCTAAGATCAAAGGAAAAAGAGAGAGAAAATAGACCATAAAAGAGTGTTAATTTGAGGGGAAAAGCTTTGCTGTCTTAATTTTGTCAAACTTGCAACAGGAAATCTGTGATTAGGGTTCTGTTGGTTGAATTGTTTTTTTTTTTTAAAAAAAAAAAAACAATTTTCACTGAAGTCAAACTGGATAGCAATATCTGAAAGTGTTCAACTCTTCATCAAACAATATAATTAAAATTTAAAAGAAAAAGAAAAAGCTCTGGAAGAGGCTTGGTTGATGCAAGGATCATGTTGTTAAAAGTTATATTTGAAATATGAAAGTGTCTCCACACATATAATGAGTATTATCAAAGTCATAGAATGACTAAGAAGTGTCTACATATTTCTGGAGATTTTTTTTCCAATATTGAAAGTATAGAGAAGACAGTGTTTTTAGTGTACAAATCATCATTTTATTATATGTCATGATCCCTTTAGTTAAAATGTTCATTTTATTCTGTGGTTTTTCAATTGTTTTTGGTTTGCAATGGTATTAATTGCTATTTTTACTTATTTATTTATTTGTTCAAATTTATTTGCCACCTATTTTGCCATGGGGCTGGAGTATTTTATCTATGACTGTGCTGCACTTAGTTATAAATACAGGATAAATAAACTTATTGCTTCTACTTTGTTATTGTTTGCTTTAGAATAAAATAATAAATAATGAAGATGATCATCTAAAGAGGTTGGATGAGGAAAGGCTTCAACTTCAGGATCAACTACAAAGTCTGAAAACTGAACATGAATCCATCTACTCTATGATAGGAAATGAAGTTGATGCAGCTTGTGAAGTCTTTTCAAGATATTCTATGGAGAAAATGACAGTAATTATCTCTTAATTGTTTTTTTAACTTATTTATGCATGGAATTGTATTACTAGTTCTGTATTCTCAAGTGTTACAAAACAAAAATGAGGGCATAAAAGGTGAGACCAGTAAAGTAAATCATAGAACGACCGTACAACAACTTAAGACAGAAGCAAAGTAAATTCAATAGAGAGGACAGCAGTTATTGAAGAAACATTAAATTTATATTTATAATTGAGTAAATAACAAAGCCAGAAAAGAAAAATATCTTCAGCTTGCACTGACAAGGTTAGATTCTCTGGAGACAATATTCTGTAACTATAGTGTCAGCATTATAAATGCCTTTTTTTACTAGTTATTAGTCTTATTTATTTGGCAAGGGCCTTGAAAGAAGAACCAATCTACATACATACATATGGAAGTCCTTTTAAATGTAATAGACTGCTTCTCGTTACTAATGCAGACTTTTCCTCAAACAACACTTGATATTCTTTCATGGTTCTAAGAAATAGTTTATTATTCCTAGCTTTATTTCACTATTAATCCTATCTGCTTTTGGCATGTTCTAACATCAGGTCTATGAAGCAGGTAGTTTGATTTTAAGAGAACATTTTAGCTGTTGCGTGATTGTCTCACTCTACAAATGATATTTTCACCAATTAGCAATTAGAATTTCAAGAAGCAGTCAATAAGATCATTTTTCCAGTCACCTATTTTTCTGTATTTATCTCCAGTAAATAGTCCAGGATAAATTTTATCTTCACACATGCAATCTTCTATTTATATGCTATTTTCTAAGATCACCAGAACTTGTTTTAATAATTGGGTGACTTTGGAACAAATGACATCCTATTAGTCCTGGATAGTTACATGACCTCTCCAGTTGCAAGTGATATCATTTTGGCCTGGGAGAAAAACATAATTCTTTACCATACATGGATCCATTAAAGGTTTTTTTTTGGTAATATAATATTAGAATCACATATTTATAATTGGGAATAGAATTTTACATGCTGTGTTTGTAATCCACATAGTGTGTCTTAGTCTTCATATGACAGCTTCTTAGTAAACTTGTGCCAGGGTTTCTAATCTGGGACACTAAACCATGAAGGCTATATTTTAATTTCTTTTTTATATTTTGTTCTATTGGTTTTATCTAAACATGTATTTATATTACAAGCCTCTCAAACTTGGGAAAATAATTTTTAACAATTTTTTCAATTGCTATTAGACTTTCTCTAATAATTCAGAAATAATTTTAATATATCTCTTTATATTATGAACAGTTTGAAATGGTTTAAAAGACTCAGACTCAGAATAGAGCTGGAAGGGACCTTGGAGGTCTTCTAGTCAGCTCCTATATCATTTCAGACAAATGACTGTCTACTTAAAAATCTCCAGTGATGAGGTACCCAAAATGTCTGAAGGCAAGCTTTTCCACTGGTTAATTGTACTCACTGTTAGGACAATTCCAGGTTGCTTCTTTTCTTGATTAGTTTCTATCCATTGTTTCTTATCCTGCCCTCTGGTGCTTTGGAAAATAAATTGACCCCCTCCTTTTTTGGCAGCCTCTCAAATACTGGAATACTGCTATCATTTCCCCCCAAGTCCTTTTTTTCTCTAGACTAGCCAAACCCAAATCCTGCAACCGTTCTTCACATGTTTTAGTCTCCAGACCTTTAATAATCTTAGTTGCTCTTCTTTACATATTTTCCAGAGTCTTGACATTTTTTTCATAATGTGGTGACCAAAATTGGATGCAGTATTCAAGGTGTGCTCTTACTAAGGCTTTATAAAGCGGTACTAATAATTCATGTGATTTTAATTCTATGTCTCTGTTTATGCAACCAAGGATTGTATTAGCTTTTTTGGCTGTTGCCACACACTGCTGATTCATGGTCATCTACTAGGACTCCCAAGGTCCCTCTCACAGTTACTGTTTTTGAGCGAGGTGTCACCTAATCTGTACTTGTAGCTTTGGGTTTTTCTGCCCAGGTGTAAAACCTTGCTTTTCTCCACATTAAATTTCATTTTGTTGGATAGGGTTCATTGTTCAAGTTTGTCAAGATCTTTTTGGATCCTGAGCCTTCTGGAGTGTTGGCTATTCCTGCCATCTTAGTGCCATCTGCTTTTATGATCATATGATCATATTTTTCAGTGTTTCCCATGCTTTTTGAGTTGTTTTCCCCTTTAGAATTTTTATCCATGAAATTTTGCTTAGGCTCTCTCTGAGTTCGTTAAAATCAGCTCTTTTAAAGTTTAAGACACTGGTTAAATTATATTCTGTTGCTTGTGTTTGCATTATATTGAATTCCAGTACGATGTGGTCACTCTCACCCAAGGTTCCAGCAACTTCAACTGTAACACTTCTTCTCTATTAGTAAGAATTAGGTGCAGTATAGTTTTTCCTCTAGTTCGCTCCTCTACTTTTTGGATCACAAAATTGTCAGCTAAGTTGGTTAGGAATCGGTTTAATCTGATGTCACTTAGGACAAATGAGACTTGTTCAGTTCCCTAGTGCTTTCTGAATACGCACAGTTCTCATTCCGGAGTGGTATTGTCTGTCTTTAAAGATAGAATTAAAACTGGATATTGTTACATTAGAAAGTTTCAGTGTTTCAAATATTCCTCCAAAATATGCCTACTCTTGTGTTAAAAATATAAACTATAGAATATATTATGCAGCTTCAAATGTAAAGAACAAAATATTTATATTAAAATGTGGATGCCTAAGTAATACAACTGGCTTGAATATAATATGTGCCCATGCATTCATTTTTATTTTTAATTTAGGCAACATCACTTATATCCGGGATACTGAATGATCCTCATCGCTGGTTAGCAGAGACAAAAGTAAGTGCAGATCTTTTAATATCTAAATTAAAATTTAGCTGATTAATGTGAATTAATTCCTTAGTAATTAAGAGGAAATGTATGGTTCTCATGTCTCATATTGTGTTCAGCTATATCCCAGTAATACTTCTATGTATTTAAATATTTGGCCCTTCCATATAGATATTTAATATTTATATAAATCTGCCAGACATCTAACTTTGTAGAAAGCTAGGAGCACACTAGAGAGTTTTCTTTTTCATTTTTGAAGCTGACTAATGCATAGCATTCTTTCTGCATCTGTTTTTTTTAAATGATGCAGATCTACTACAAACTATGGATTCAGTTTGTAACATTGTTGTTGAGTTTATTTCTTTATTTTTCATATTCGTGAAGTACCCATTGCCCTCAAAGAGGAATTCTGGGCAGTGTGCAATAAAATGTTAAAATATAAAACAGTATGTATAAAAGTTAAAAGATTTATATTTTTTTATTTGTTTCCTAGAATGATTTGATTGGTTAATTAGTAACCTATGACTATCACTAATTGTTGTATCTTATGATTCTTGATGAATGTATTTTTTTTCTTTTTATGTACACTGAGAGCATATGCACCAAAGATAAATTCCTTGTGTGTCCAATCACACATGGTCAATAAAGAATTATATTCTATTCTGTGCTGTGCTGTGCTGTGCTATTCTATTCTATTCTAAAGAGAAGGCAAGGAATTACATTAGTTAAAAGGTGAAAAGAGGGCTTTCAGGAGACTAACCAACTCTACGGCTATGTGCTCCTTTGGCTCCCTACCTGAAGCTGCAGAGCCATCTTTTAATTCTTTTTTCAGAAGGCCAGGAGAGTGGGAGTCTGCCTCACTTCTGGGGAAAGTATATTTTATAGAGAGGTCAACAGCAGAGAAGGCTGTCTTTCTAGACCTCACCAGTCAGAGTTCTTTAGCTGATGGGGTTTCCCTGCCTGACCTGATGGAACAAACTGATGAAATTAGACAAAGACTAGACTAGCCCCATGCCAGGTAAGGCTTTATAGGCCACAACCAACACCTTGAATTAGACCCAAAAGCAAACTGGCAACCAATGCAGCAGAAGCAGAAATGTTAAATGTACCCTTATTTGAACATGTAAAATTATCCAAGTGGCTCCATTTTGTACCAGATGAAGCTTCTAGTTACTTTTCAGGGATAGTCTTATGTAGAGTGTATTGCAGTAGTCCAAAAGGGAGATGACCAAGGCATGATTGACCAAGCATATAGTCTCCCGAATCCAAGAAAAGGGGTAATGGGTGCACAACAAAAAACTAAGCAAAGGCCCTCGTAGCCATGGCTGCTATTTTCTGTTTGAGAAGGAGCATGAGTCCAGGAGGATGCTCAGATTACCCACTGAATCTCTATGGGTTAGTGCAATCCCATCCAAGACCAGAAATAATAAATTCCTTGATACAGGAATTTGGGGCCCACCCACAGTCATTCAATTTTATAAGGATTTGGCTGAAATCAGTTGTTTTCTCTAGGCCCCCACAGCCTTCAGGCACCCCAAAAGAACATCCACTTCATCAATCACTTCAGCTGGGACAGAGACACAGCTGTATATTATCAGCATATTTGTGATATGATTTCACCCAGTGGTATAATGTAGATGTTGAAAAGGAGCCCTGAGCCCTGTGGCACACCACAAAGCAAGGGCCAAAACCTCTCACTCCGTATCCACACTGATTAGGATCAACCTCAGAGGAAGGAGGTGAACCAGCACAAACTATGCTGCCCACTCCCAAGTCCCTAAGTGAAGCCCAAAGAGATACGAGCCATGGTGGCACAGTGGTTAAAATGCAGTACTGCAACAGAGTAACTCACTGCTCACTCCGGGAGTTTGATTCCGACTGGCTCAAGGTCAACTCAGCCTTCTATCCTTCTGAGGTCAGTAAAGTGAAGACCCAGATGGGGGGAAATATGCTGACTCTGTAAACTGCTTAGAGAAGGCTGTAAAAGCACTATGAGCAGTATGCTGTATAAGTGCTATTGCTATGCTATGGTTGATGATATTGAAAATCACTGAGAACTCAGGAAAAGCAAGGATGGAGGCACCACCTCCATCCCACCAGAGATCATAAGTGGGACCGATGTCATTTTGGTTGCATATCTGGGCCTAAAATCTGACTGAAGAGTACAGCTAATCTGTTTCCTCCAGGATCCTCTGGAGTTACAACTCCACCACCTTCTAAACCACTTTCTCTAAAAAGGAGAGGGGGAGTCTGGACAAAAACTTTTCAGAATGGTAGAGTCCCAAGATGGCTTCTTGAGGAGGGGACACTTCAGCGCCTCTTTAAGAGGGATCCAGAACACCCCCTCCAACAAGGATGAATTGACTATTGCTTGAACTAATCCATATGACCCTTAACCAACAAGGAGGGGCATAGATCTAATGTACAGGTAGTGGGGTTTACATTTTGGAGGCTCCTGTGCACTTCCTCAGGTCTAGCAGAATGAAACTGTTCCCAGATAATTGGGTAGTTCCAGATAACTGGGAAGGTAATTGTAATACTGTAATGCAGCTAGCTATTCATTCCAAAGGAAAATTCTGTGATGATAAATTGTATAGGCTGATAACACTTTTCAATTATATTCTAAATGTGCACTGAAAGGGCAATGTCCCTTTCATCCCTTGTTTTCAAATGCTAGTCTTAATTGTCTTGAATTCATATATTTCTCAAAACCTTTTATGAGACATTTGAAATCTAATTCCTTTTTCCTATTATCTTTGGTTCCTTTTTTTAGCTTATTAGATCAAGACATTGCCTGTTAGGATCTAACCATTATTTTTTTAGTTCAGTGACTTTGTAAGCAACTTTATCTTGTATCTTTAATAATGTTAAACTTCTTTCAATTGGAAATGCTTTTTCTACTTCATGAGACATAGTATATTAGGGTCACAATGAAAGGAGAACTGTTGACCAACTGACTAGGGTGAAATTGCATTTGTTTTCTAGCAAGATTGCCTGAAGTTATTGATGGGTTTGTTTGTAATGCCCATGGACCAAGAATGAATATCACCATAAATAGTGAAGATAAGAGTTTGAACTGGAGGACAAGGGCAGTAGAGGAAACAGACTCACTATTCAGATTGTTCATGCTGAAACTCCAGGCACTAAGTATCAAGAAGGGTATGTGGTAATTGATTCATAAATCTGCCAGTTGAGTCCTCTTTGGTTATTAGTAGGTTAGTCATGAAATAAAAGGGCCTTTGAAAAACTGTATTTTGCACCTGAAAAACAAATTGACTTAATAATTGTTTTGTTAAGAAATACTGCTTTATCCATCAACTCTTTCACTGCCTTGGTTCTTGCCTTTGCAATTGAACTCTGTGAGGAGATTAAATACAGTGCCTAGTTTTAGAGGGCCAGAGAGATGAATTTTGTATACACCATAAAATTTCTAAGAATGACCTTTTCCCAAAAGAACCCTCTTTATCTTCTTGGAATTTCAAGGAGATTTGGAAAGGAGCCTTTAATTCAGAATATGGAGTGGAAGCTGGTTTGGAGGAAGGGCAGGGAAAGAAAGATACTTTTGAATATGCCTGGACTTTATTAGAATGCTCTAGCTCTCAGATGTTGCCATTGTTTATAATGTTTTCATGTGAGAAACATAATAATGGTAAATAGAAAAAGGTCAGAAGTATCATGGCATGAAAAAGCATAAACTGTGTTGCAGTGTTTACGTAGTGCCCTTTTTGCAGTGTTTACACTTTAAGTGAAGAAATTAAAAATATATGTGATCTGTCCCATTTATCTGCTTTTCTTTTCCAATTTGTTAATGGATAAATAGAAGTGATTTGTACATTTTATACAAAATGTTGATTTAAAAAAAATAGACAAGAAAATCAAGCAAGTCTTCTCCTTGTGAGCTATAAATGGACCAGAGGTTTTGGACGCAAGATACCGTGCAAATATGTCATTTTTCAGTTAAATGTGGAAGTGATATGATCCTGCCCTGTTATTAAGGGAACTATATAAATTGGTCCTATTTTCTAGGCTCCCAATTAAGAACTGAAGAAATGTGTAGGATTTACATTCCCACAGGAAGTACAGGGCAGATGCCCTATTTCTGAAACTAAAGATTGTATGATATGATTTGAACAGCTGAGATTACTTAAGCACATTGAAATATTTGTGAATCTTTTATTATTAGAAACATTTGGAACTACTGTGATGAGGACCATATGTCAATTTTATTCCTTTAAAAAGTAAACACTTTTTCTTAGCTACTTATAAGTAACTTAGAAAAAAAATATTTGTGTTCTCATTTTGCTGTTGTCATAAGTAAAGATAAAGGTAAAGGTTCCCCTCACACATGCATGCTAGTTGTTTCTGGCTCTAGGGGGCTGTGCTCATCTCCATTACAAAGCCGAAGAGCCAGCACTGTCCAAAGACATCTCTGTGGTCATGTGGCTGGCATCACTGAATGCCGAAGGCGCACAGAATGCTGTTACCTTCCTACCAAAATGGTCCCTATTTTTCTACTTGCATTTTTACATGCTTTCGAACTGGTAGGTTGGCAGAAGCTGGGACAAGTAATGGGAGCTCACTCCGTTACGTGATGCTAGGGATTTGAATTGCCGACCTTTCTGATTAACAAGCTCAGCATTTAGCTACTAAGCCACCACATCCCTACTGTTGTCATAATCACTGGCAAATTACACTATTATAAATTCAATATTTTGAGCTGCATTGGTTACCTGGTTGTAATGGAATGTGTGGATGACCTTGGGCAGAGGTGCTGCTTAGGAAACAATCAGACAAGAGAGGCAGGAAACCCCAGTGGCTTAATGGTCAGAGAAAGAAACTTAGGAAGGACCCGCTGTAAAGGATCAAAGTTAAAAATACTGGTAGGAAGTTTGTACTTTCAGACTTGCAAAATTGTTACCAGCCTTCCCAGGTAAACCAGACAGGAAGCAGAACAAAAGGAACTAATTCTACTTTATTGTAAGGCTACATTAATAAAAACTTACATATTTGAAAGGGGTTTTTTGGGGGTCTAATTGTTTCCTAGACTTATTTGTAAACTGGTCACAGTAGCCCTTTGACATTTCTACTGTTGCATTCTTGAGCTATGCCAAGACCCTTAATCGCTCAAAAAACCACCACTATTGAGCGGATTGAGTAATTGCTGAAAACTATGGTAGCACCCAACTGTGAGGCATGCTATATTTATGGTTATTGATGTTGACCACCTTCTATCTGTATTTGACCGAAATCTTTACAAATAAATTTTTTGAAAAAGTCCTTGGTTTGGGTTACAGGACCCTATCTTACTTTGAATTTGATTGATGTACATGATATCTGTATCTGATGAATGGTAAACTTCTCTTCCAGTATATTTAATAGGAATACATTTTCTTTTAGGCTAAAGTTAGATGGCTTTGTGAAGAAGTGAAAGAGAGACACAGCAAGGAAAAGAAGCTTCGTCATCAACTGCTACAGAGCCGAGAGCAATTAAAACAGCTGAGCTTGAGCAAGGAGACTGAGCACCAAAACCTTATAGGCCAAATAGAAAAGCAGGAACAACTACTAGAAGAAGTTTATGAAGAGAAGAAACGTGAGTTTATAAGATCATGTTAATTAACAACAAAACTTTTTGAATTTCCCATGTCAACCATACCTCTGATTGGACAAGTAAGCCCACTCTCTCCTTCCCTCCCTCTCTTCTCTTTCTCTTTCTCATAAAATAGTTGAAATCTTGAATTAAAGTTGAGGTTTCTGTTAGAAATGGTAGTCCCCATCGCCTTCTTTACATCATGTAAGAGTTATATGATCTGAAGAGAAACTAGTATTGCCAGTGAATCTGACAGGTAATCTGCTTCTCCATGGCATACTTAACCAACCTCGAAGTAACCAATCATTGGAGAGCTTTTCCGCTGGCATGATGTCATGCCCTCCCCTTGGCTGTCCTTGAAGGCTAATATGGGAAAATTCCCTACCTGGAGAGGCAAAGTCCCTGTGACTCTGCACATACAGAAACAATAGAGCATGTGCTCCTCCAGTGTCTGTATGACAGAGATATCTGTACTAGCCTCATCTCATTACTACTCCATATAAACACCCAGGTCGCACAGGTCAATTTTATACCTCCCTGCCGCTTGCAGACACTAATCCTGCTATAAGATACAATGTTCTCAGGTTCTGTGCAGCATTGATTAAAATTTCTCAGATGATGACCTGTGCCTCAGGTCTGAATAAGTATTTAACTTGTCAATTAAAAGTGTTGAATATTTGATAGATTTAGTTAACCATATTAGCTACTTTTAGGTTTCCCTACATTAAATTAACATTTTATCCCTTTTTATAGATTTCTTTTTTATATAGATTTTGTTTTTGCCTATACATATATATACACTAGCTTTTTAAAACATTGTAACACTCCTGTGAATTTTATATTTTATACCTTTTAAAATTACTAATTGTTTGTATCTCACCCTTCTTATGTGGGCTCTGACTGCAATAAAGATTTGATTGGATTAACTTAAGTAAATTGACCCCAGAAAAACAACACTTTCCCAACGCTAGCCAAAGTGTTGAAAGTGAGGTGTTTTCAATGTGTTGAAAACATATGTCAAAAGATGAATTATATGCTTTGAAAGAATTGGAGAGTGCTGTTTTCAGGAGCATCCCTACTGTTGTGATAGGAGTAATTCTGCTTTTCCGCTTTGAGCTGTGCTTCCTTACATTAAAGTATCTACAAAAATTGGATATATAAGATAGGTAAAATGGAGTAACTTATTTTCCAATTGAAAGATTAGAGGCATGCTGTGAGCTGCAAGAAACAGGATTTAAGACAACATTTTGAAGCCCTATTCATTTTGAATTCATTCTGTCTACCTAAGAAAAACTATAGAATTTCTCCATGTTTTACTGACAACTTTCTTCCTCTTGGACCACCTAAAGAA